GAAGTTTATTAAAGTTACCATTTTGAATTTTTCTTCATGTTGTCTTAGAAAGTGATCCCTTCTTTGAGAGAGAATTCTACGGGCCTGAGACTCAGCGATCATGGCTGCTGCCTCCCCACTGAGAAGCCTGGAGGATGAGGTGCTGTGCCCCATCTGCCTCGACTACTTGAGAGACCCAGTCACCATTGACTGTGGCCATGTCTTCTGCTACTACTGCATTACTAAGGTCTGTGAAGCCGCCCGGCAGCCCCTGTGTTCTCTTTGCAAGACAGCCTTTAAGAAAGAGAATATCCGTCACGTGTGGCAGTTGGCCCGGTTGGTGGAGAGCATCTGGAGGATGAAGGAAGATGAGGAGAGACAACCTCAAGAGGAAAGACCACCTGAGCAACGAGCAGAGACCATGTGTAGGCGACATCTGGAGAAGTTCCATTACTACTGCAAGGATGACCAGCAGGTCCTGTGCGTCTTGTGCCGGGAGTCCCGGGAGCACAGACACCATGCTGTCGTGCTCCTGGACAAGGCTGCGCAACCGTATCGGGTAAGAAGCGTCCTGAAGCCCAGTTCTGTAGTTGTTACCCAAATTCTATGGTATCTTATAGTTTGGATTCTTCAGTGTTGTGAGTCCTTGGTAAATGCTAATTTTTGAATTAGGGTAAGAAATACAGTTTGCTTCTTTATCCTTTGTAATAAGTCTATCCCGTTGCTTTGAAGTTTGGTTTCTGAGACCTTTGAACCTGGTCCAATCAGTATTACAGAACACCAGCACACCCAAGAGCCCATTTGGCATACAATTTCAAATACTCACATACTCACAACCATCAAGTTGATGCTGGCTCATAGCGACCCTGTAGGACAGGGTAGAACTGCCCCTTGGAGTGTCCTGAGACTGTAACTGTTCACGGGAGTGGAAAGCCCGGTCTTTCTTCTGCAGAGCAGCTGGTGGTTTCAAACTGCTGACCTTGTGTTTAGCAGTCCAGCACGTCACTACTATGCTACCAGGGCACCTTTTGAAGCACCATAATCTTTATGAAAATACTTTTTGAAGATGTGTTATTTTTTTTCTTTTTTTGCTGAGACATGCAGAGTTTTTATTTGATTACATTTAAGCTAATGATATTTAGCTGTAGAATAGAACCAGAGATAGAGCTGTGGGCAGGGGATTAGTATTGGGTTCAAGGGTAGGTGGGGCACAACCATGAGGACACAGCAGGCTGCTCTGTTGGCAAAGTCTACTTCTCAAGGGCCAGCTTATGGGGCAGGAGATACCAAATGCTGCCATAGTATGCAGGTACCCGAGCTGGAGGGGGAGGGGCCTGTCATTACTCAACGGTTGTCAATCAAGGATCTCATGCCAATTTCTTTAGATGCCTGAGCAGTGATCACAAAGGTCGGGTAAGTAGGGGCTACCCCGTCAGAAAAAAATAGTATTCTTATAAGTTCCTAAGGGTGGAGCAATTACAGCATGCAATTTGGGGTCTGATATAAGCGGGAAGTTCAGGCTTCTAGAAATAATCTTCTCCATGGCTGTTGCTCCTAGCAGCCTGCGCCCCTCTTTGAAGCCCTCCCCATTAACATGCAGGATCCTCATTTGCTTCACAATGGTGCTTTCACCAGATTCTCCCGCACCCAGCAGGAGCAGCAGCAGCAGGCAGTGCGTGGCCCAGTAGACTGTAGACCTGCTTGTCCTTCAGC